AACAGGCCCAAAGAGGTTTTCTAATTAGTTTTCCTTTTTCTAAAGCTCATTGGTAGTTATCAGAGTCCCAACAAAAAACAAGATAATTTGAGGTGGATTTATTTACAAAAAGACTAATTTTAAAGGTATAGATGGAATAAGGAAATTCAGTGGATGGTGCAGATACTTGAGGAAGCAGCTTCAAAGCTGTCATTCCTTCTAGGTGCCCAAGAACAAGGTGGGAGACAGTTCTGAGACACTGGAAGAAAGTGAATCCTGTAGGACCTGCCGCCTTGAGATGAGCAATGACTTCCTGTTGAGGAACAGAGCCAGGCTGAGGTGAGTCATAGCGTTCCAACATCCTTCCTCCCCCAGATCCCCTGCCTGGACTCCCCATTAGCCAAACCCAGTTGGCAAACAGAAAGCATGGAAGCCTATTGATTTCATTCATACAAATTAGTCTCCTGGGGCAGAGACTATGGGGATACAAATGCATAGTAGTTCTGAAGGGAAAACTCAGGAACAGATGAATTCACATACTTTTTCCTACCCCACCATTCTACCGTGTATCCAAATGTTTCCCAATATCTATAGATCTTATGTTGTAGAAATAATTCATGACCCAGATGATGGTTGATGCTTCCCGAGGGAAGTTTGTTGAATGACTGGAATTACCTTATCCAATTTGGGGGTTTGAGACTGTTCTGAGTTACTCAGATGTCTGGAGACAGGATTGCTTTCCATGTAAGGGTTATTTTACTTCTAGTTCTTCCTTATGCTTAGGTTATCTCATCTTTATTTTTGTCCTTCAAGGTGTTAAAAATGCAGCTCAGCCTCTCTGCTGTCTGATTCAGATCAGATCCACAAAAATTGCCAGGCCAAAAGCAGCTATTGCTGGAGGTTTAACCTCTTACTCTGTTCTCTCTTCCAGAATCTGGCCAGATAGTTCCTCCTTGCCTCATAGTTCTTTGATGCCTATATATAGGATTTGTCCAGCATCCTTAGTCTTCTTCAAAGACAGGGGTGATCAGAATTACCTATTCTATCATAAACAAAAGAAGAAATCTCTCGATATTTCTCCAACTCTTATGAGGAAAATTTTTGCCCTTAAAGGTTTCCCAGTCTATATCTCTAAGTAGAAGTGTGGTGAGCTCTGAATAAAAACATAATTCTGACTAATAAACTTCAGTTCTGCTGCCATTTTCAGTATAAATATGTCATGGACTCTTTATGATATTACAATTCCATCATTTAATGATTATGATTTAATACTGCCAATAGCTTCCAGAAAAAAATTGCCATTTGTGAAGCATCTAAATATTTCCTTGGATTCCTTTTCCCCCCAATGCAAAATATAACAAGTTTTTAGCTTACAATAAGAAATATAATCCCTTTCAGGATCTCTCCTGGTGGCACAGGTGGTTGAGCGCAGGCTGTGAAGCTGTCCACAGCCTCTGCAGTGCTGGTTTGATCCCGGCCGGCTGACAAGGGCCCCACATGGTGTGGCAGACCTCTCCTGTGTCGCCTGCTGCTCCCCTCAGCAGTGTATTTCCATCAGTCTGCCTGGTCTGTTCCCCACTCTGTCTCTGGTGAATCCTCTCACCCTCCCGCGCATCTGGCCTGTACCCTGGTTCTTGTATAAATAAATAAATAAATCTTTAAAAAAAGAGAAATACAATCCCTTTTATTCCTCGCATTTATTAAGGTAATGTAACCAGAAAGCTTTTATCTGATATATATTATTTTAGATTCCTCAGAAGTGCTTTCATTGAATTAATATGTAATATTGTGTTCTTAGCTTTAATAAATATTATACATATATGTGAGGAACATATATACTTTTGTAGAAATCCATGTTCAGTTGCATTGTATTGCCCAATGTCCTCTATGTCAGACTCTGTGGAATAACGTTCTTACAGAATTCAGTAGCAGAGACATAGTCATTAATATGAATATGTATACTTCTATGGGTTTTCTTTTTATTTTGAAAGTCAAAACAAAATCAGCTACATTTAATAATCAATTGAGAGACCTCCTTTGTGGCACAAGAGGTTAAGATGCAACCTATGAAGCTGTTCGCGGCCACTGCAGCACAAGTTCAAACGTCCAGCCAGCCAGGGAGCAACCCACATGGCTCAGCAGACGTCTCCTGGCTTGCACACTGCTCCCCTCAGCAGTGTACTTTGGTCAATCTGTCTGTTCTGTTCCCCACTCTGTCTCTAGTGAATCCTCTCACCCCCCACATTTCTGGCCTGTATCCCAGCTCTTGTATGCATAAATAAATAAATCTTTAAAAAATATAATCAATTGAATTATCGATTATAATTAATTATTCCAGATGCTTGATACCCCTTTTGTTGGTCTTCTTATTCATTTCTAGTCATTTAAATTACATTTACCTTGTTTTCATGTCGCCTGAAATAATTTTTCACATTAAGAATCTATTGTATTCTCATTTATCTGAGGATACAGAGAAAAAGAGCAAACCTAGCTCCTAAAGCAAAACTAGCTAGCTAGAAGATTCTCACCTGTCTCAGGTTTAAGATCCACCATTTTGCCCTTCAAGATTAAACATGAAAACCCAAAATAGGCAATACTTTTTCTGCTATTCACCACTACTTTTTTGTATTAGAAAAAGGCGTTCCTTCTACAGAGACAAATTGCAAAATCCTGGAAGATCAAATCAGAAAAAAAGGTTTTCATTCCCAAGATGAGCTCTCTGAGGCATGTGTGGCAAACTGAGGTCAGGTGGGATTCCAGCACATCCATGCCATACCTGGTGCCCTTCTGCCTGTTCATGGGTCCAAATTTAAGTCATAAATTGATCCATCTGAATGGATATTGTGGATAATATTGGATAATATTCCATAGTAATGGATAATATTCCATTCAGGATGGAATTGTGTAGCTATTAGTTGCATTTCCACCCCTTAACGCTTTACTACTCAAATTTTTCATCTTTCCTTCCCCCAGCTTGGATTGTGGAATATCCATTCTGTATTATGCATAGTCAACTATCAGTTATAGAAATGGAAATGTCACATGGCTGAAGATGAAGCAGCTTAAACCATGCCATTTGGGCAAGGAGAGAGTTTTGGGACCAAGAAAAGCAGACTTTCAGCATTGCTTTGAGTGTGGGTGCCAGTCATCATTAACACTGTTAGAGTTATTACATCAATCCAATGTAAAACAAGTGGGCTAAGTAAGACAAAAATAAAAATTGTGTGTGAAAAAGGACTCTGAAACACTCTGGAAGGGAAGTAAGTTGTGAAAGGGCCTAAAAAGTTATGGTTTGTGAAAAGAACTTAATATATAATCTTAGATCTTATTTCTGTAGTGAAGTACCATTTGAGAATTAAGGCGCTCTCATTTTCCAGACATGGTCTTAATAAATCTCCAGTGTTTATTGATTTTTTTTTATCAGGATGGGGTGGATGGAAGATTATCTGCTCCCACAGATTACCTGCTTCCAAGTTGTTGGAAATATTAAAAATTGAATATCTTTTAGGATCCCATCATATTTTATTTCAGTATGATCAGTGTTTCACAATATATCTACTTTCCTAATGATCTCAAATCCAAAGGCAGGTTTGGTTCACACAGATTCCAGTGGACATGAAGAATATAAAGTTTCCTTAGTATAAATTTACTTCTATCATTTTACAAATCTTTAGAAAAATCCCATGTCACTTTCCTTCACTCAGGATGGAATTGTGTAGCTATTAGTTGCATTTCCTCCCTTTAACGCTTTACTACTCAAATTTTTCATCTTTCCTTTCCCCAATTTGAAGTAAATTGCGTTTCTTCTTCTATTTTTTTTTCCCCATACAAGGCATTAATCTCAGTTCCAGAGCACGGGACGTTGAAAACCTTTCACTGATTTTCCTAACAGCATTCAGGAGAAGTTCTCTAGAACTTACACATCTGGTTTTTGGCTGCCCCAATAAATACATACTTTTTCATTGTTCTTAAGCAATCTAGGCATTCCCCTTTGCCTTCCCCGGTGCGATTTAAAAAAACAGAATAAGTCACTTAATTTTCTTTGATCTGGCCAAGATTTGCCAAGTCGGGGGTGTAGTCCTCATTATCCGCTGCAAGTATGGAAGCGGTGGTGGTGGTGAAGGGGGACACTCGGGTTTTAAGATCTTAAAGCCCTTGAGGTCAATCAACAACTCATTCACGACAACACAAGGTACTGCAAATTTTTAAATGAAAAATAGATGGGGCAGACCTATTAAATGTAGCCTACCACTTCCGGAGCGCCCCTGTCACGAACCAAAAAAAAAAAAAAAAAAAAAAATCAAAAAACCAAACACACACACACACACACACCCCCACCCCACCCTCCGAATTTAGGCCCCAGCTCCAGGGCGTAATTTAAAAATCTTCCCGCCGCGCGCCGCGCAGCGCTCCCCGGGCCGCCCCGGCCCGCGCGCGGTACCCCAAAGCGCCGCCGCGCGAGCCCAGCAGGGCCGGGAGGGGGCGCCCTGGCGGCGAGGAGCGCGCCAACGCCTCTCGCGCCGGCTCGCCAGACCCGAGGACTCGCCGGAGACTTTTGCGCCCTCCTGCCGTCGCGCGCGTGGCGGGCTTTCGCCTTCTCCGGGTCTGCGGGGGGCGCAGCGCGCGGCGAGCCGGCGGCGGCGGCGGGGAACCCCGGCCCGCGCCGCGCCCGGGGCTGGGCAGAGACCGCGAGCGGCGGCGCGATCGGCTGCGTCCCGACTCGAGCTTCCCAGCAGCGCCCTCCCCCGGGGCGGGCCCTGACTTTCGGGGCCGCGACGAGTGGGCGGCCAGAAGCCGGTGGCCGCCACGCCGAGACTCGGGAGGCGAGGCTGGCGCTGGGACGCCGCGGCCCCGGCGGGCCGTGGAGCAGCGAGGCCGGGGAGGCGGAGCAGATCGCGCCGCGGAGCGGGCGCTGCCTCCGAGGGGGAGGCGGATCCTCCCGGCAGCACCAGCTGCCGCCGCTCCCGGACGCGGCCGGGGCGCCCGCCCGCCTGTCAGGTGCCGGCCAGGTAGCCCCGCACCCAGAGGGCACCTTCGGCGGCCCCTCCCCGAGCTGCCGGCGCGGAAGGAGTCGGGGCAGCGGCGCGCGGGGCGAGCGGGGCGCACCGCACCCCGAGCGCGGCGCCCTTGAGCCGCACCGCGGCGCAGGTCCGCGAGGCGACCCGGCCCGCCAAGAGAAGGAAGCGCCGTCCCTTCCCGCCCGAGCCGGCTCCCCACCCCTCGCCCCCGGCACCCCGCAGCGGGCGAGCGGCGCGGCCACGGAGGCGCCGAGGAGGGGCGAGCCGCCGCCCGGCAGCGGCGCGCCTTCGGGGGACAGGGCGCCCGAGAGGCGGCGGCGGCGCGGCGCGGAGGGCGCGACCCGCGATGGCAGCTGCTTAGCCCGGCGCGCGCGGAGCAGCCCGGAGCTGTGGCTGGCCAGACGGGGCGCCTGGGCTGGGGACCCCGCCGCCGCCCGGCCGGGAGAGATGAGCGCGGAGGCGGGCGAAGGCATCACTTTCTCCGTGCCACCCTTCGCGCCCTCGGGCCTCTGCGCCGTCGCCGAGGGTGGCAGCTGCCGGAGGGGAGGCGCGGCGCCGGCGGCCGAGGGCGAAGAGGACCAGCTCCCGCCGCCGCCGCCGGGCAGCTTCTGGAACGTGGAGAGCGCGCCCGGCCCCGCGTGCCCCGCCGCCCCCGCCGCGAGCAGCGCCACCCGCGGCAGGGGCAGCTCCGGCGGCGGGGGCGGCCGGCGGACCACCGTGGCTTATGTGATCAACGAGGCGAGCCAGGGGCAGCTGGTGGTGGCCGAGAGCGAGGCCCTGCTGAGCCTGCGGGAGGCGTGCGAGGCGGTGGGCGCCACCCTGGAGACCCTGCACTTTGGGAAGCTGGACTTTGGGGAGACCGCCGTGCTGGACCGCTTTTACAATGCAGGTGCGTGTGCGACCCCCTTCCCTGTGCTCGGCGGCCACGGGCCGCGCTTCCCCGGGCTGCCACGGGGAGGGAAGAAAACATGTTTTTCTGGGCGACAAGCGTGCTTCCTTCTTATTTACTTACTGCCCCACCTTAGGGGCAGCGAGCGGCGCTGCGTGACTGCTGCTGGCGCGCGCCGCCCCTGGGAGCGGGTGCTGTGCAGGGGACCCACCCGCTCGGCACCCCTCCGCCCGCGGGCTCGTGGGGCCGTGGGAGCCTCTTGGAGAACTTCTGCTCTGCAGCAGGGCAAGCTGTTGGCTTCCATCAGTTCTCCGTCCAGTGTCTTGATTTCTCTGCTCCCAGGTTGACCTGTATTTTCCTTCTGTGTATTCCTAAGACGGTTCCAGGTGGCATTCTTGTTTCCCTCTGTGTGGTTTGGGGAGTGCAGGAAAGGTGGCCCACGCCACGCACCAGTGGCAGGCAGTGTGTCTCTGAATTTGGTTATCATGTCTTGATCGCCCCAGCTCTTTCCCTGAACAAGTTTAGTGGCTCGAACCTCCCATCTCTTAGTAATTTGAACTTGCAGGTAATTGCTTCCAAAAGTGATAACATTGCAACTTGCACTAACCTCATGTGGTGTGTATGTGAGGAGTTGGGTGAAAGAACCACCGTCTGTTCTTTCATTGCCCCGTATGCCCTGCTGGGCTGGAAGGTTTTTAAGTTGACATAGTTTAAAACGCTGGTATTTCATGTTAATGAACTAAGACTGGGTTGACCATTAAAGTGATCGGTAGACTAAGCCATGAAAAAAGACCCTATCTTTTCAAATTGTCACAGATTTCAGAAAATGTTGGGTAGTTCTGGTGATTGAAGCAATTAGCTGTGAGCACATGTTAGGAATAACATGTTACTGAAACCTACTTTAGCACCCTGCACAACCGAAGTTGAGAATATGTACGTGTATTGTGTAAGTGAGGGTAGAAACTTTGATTTAATGGTAGTTTCAAATAAGAAGTTCCTTGCATGTGTGATGACATAAAAGGTTCTATATTCCAGTCCTGTTTTCAGTTCTTACTCTCTTCAGTCACTTCAGAACACCTGAAATAGGCTTATGTCAGTTTTGGATTTCAGCCAAAGCTGAATATTTTAAGAACAAGAAGAACTTCTTGTTAAGGAAACCAGACTAAATAAACTAGGACTTTCTGGTTCTGGTATTTTTTACAGCCTCGGTCTTCATAACTGAATATAGATATATCTTAGGTTCTTTGGGTGACTTGCTATGAAAATGAGATAAACATAACTTTTCTAAAAACTGCAGCACACTTATTTTTGGATTGTGATTTGGAAGAACCAAAAGATATGTGAGGAAACACCCACCTAAACACAGAGCCTATTTTTATTGCATTGATAGATTATTTTTTTATAAGGCTCTATAAAAATATCTTAAACGCTACGCTAATTTGAAAAAAAAATTTCTTAACAGGGCTCACTTACTATTTATTCTCCAAAAATCCATCTCTGGGAAAGGGAAGGAGAAAAACTAGAAAGAACCTGACATTTGACTGTAACTCATTTAATCCTCCAAACAAGCCGTGAAGGAAGTACTTATTTAGCCTTTTTTAGCTGAGAAGACTAGGGACTCAAGGTAAAAACTGGTCAATGCGGGATTCCACTTCAGGTGACTGACCTTGAGAGGTCCTGCCTGGCCCTTGCTGCCTTCATTGAACTGGGATGATTTACTCTCAGAATCAGGGGACACTTGCCATCTTGGAATCACATGGCAGTGAGCTGGCAGGGCCTTTTGAGCCTTTCAGGTATCCTGTGGCGTTCTAGGGGAGGGGCGGTGGGGGTGTGGGGAAGACCAGTGTTTCCAGGTCAGCTCTGTCCGCAGAGCCACTGCCCCCGGGAGTAGGGCCCTGCCTATCTTTGTGCCATGAACTTTGAACCTTCTCATTCAGCATGAAAATGTGGCAGAATGAAGATGTTACCTGTTGTGTCCAAACTCTGTTTTTCTCAAGTGAGGGGCCACCAAGTTTGCTGGTAGTTGAACTTTCCTTCTGATTCCTCAGACAGTGATTGCTCTTTTCAACCCCTTCACCCTTCACCCTCATTGGCAAATTTTTCAAAACTTTGGTCACATGATAAATTGTAGATGTGCATGAGGTCTCTCTCACAACTAGTACGCTCTGCCACCAAGAGCAGCCATCAGCTTACCTAAACAAGCAATTGTGGCAGGGTTTAATGGACACTGAAATCAAATTTCATATAATTTACAAGATAATATTCTTTTAATTTTCTTAAAACCATTACATATGTAAAAACCATCCTTAGGGTACAAGATGTATCAAAGTAAGCCTGGCAAGGTTAGGCCCCTGAGTCTGTGCTGCCCTTTGTAGTCTGTCATCCAGCTCCACTTGAAAGCAGAATCATTATGCTATGGTAGCAAGAGCCCTGTCCCTCAAGTTAGATCTAACTTTTTATTCTGGCTCTGCTTGAGACCATGTGCTTGTGAGCAAGGCCTGCAAAATTGAGCAGAGGTGGAAGTGGAGAAGGAAATTAAATGAAGTTTCTTAGGAAGCCCTCGTTTAATCCAATGAGTTTGCAAAGGCAAGGCAGCATGGCTTATAGGGACAGAGCATTGGAACAGGCTTCTTTTCTCATTTAGAGCAAGTAATTTAAAACCCCAGAAAAGAGCAGATAGTTGGAGTACTTGCTCTTTGAGATTCCCTGTAGCTCTCAAATTAGGTACTTTCAAATTATGTCATTAATACAAAATTGAACCATTTCGGTCCTTAGAGGTAAATGAATTGCTTGCATATATCATGTTCCTGGCCTGAGGAGTCTAGAGTTGGGGGATTTGGGGTAGGGGAGGGAGGATAGATTCAAAGGCTGTAGCTGGGCCTCTGTGAGGATCCCCTGAATGCCCCTGACCTCCTGGGAAAAACGTGTAGACAGGCTCAGGGTGGGGAGGGTTCAGAGAGGACCCTTGGACTGAGATGGAAGAGTAAGCAAGGATGACTTAACAAGGGTCTCACTATTTCAAAGGGAATGCTGGTGTTGGAGTGACTCAACTTACTGGAATGGATATGAGCCTAAAGTTTGCTTACATTTTTACAAGCCTTCCCTATCTGTGTACTGGTGTCATTGAAGAATATTTTCCACGTTTGGGTTATTGTTTAACTATAATCTACTTGTTCTGTGGCAACACTTATTCTCTTATTCATTCTTATTCTGAGGTGACACTAATTTGCTAACAAAGCTTTTATAAAAATTCATCAAATTTACCTATGCAAAACTAGCAGTCAGAGTGGCAGGTGCCAAGCAGACCACCTCCTTTCCTGGCCCCTGCCATGTAGATAGCACACTTCTGTAAAAATAAGAGATGCCAGTGAAATGGAGCTACTCTATTCAGGAGCCAGACCTTCCCTGGCAAGGTCTCTAAGACATTTTTTTAGATGCCCTCAGTTCTGTGACATATAGCTAGAATGAATCAACTTTATATTCCCCTATTTTGCTTAGGAGAAAACGGAATCATGAAGAGATTATATTCCTTCATTCAGGTCATAGCATGGAGGCTAGCTGCTTGGAGGCTCACACTTTCTGTGGGAACAGTATTATAGATGGGGATGAGAGACAGGATCCTAGAAGCAACCTGGTAACTCACTCAGTGCAGGTGAAGTGTGTGACCCATTCACTGTTTTCAATCTTCTGGAAATTATGTTCCTGAAACCTACGACTTTGGATGCTCCTTACTCTGGCATCATCTTGGCCAGATGTGGGAGCATCATCATGTTGAATTGTTAGTGATGAGAGGAGAGGCTGACATAAGGGACCTTGGAAGGATGGGGGATCCACAGGAAGAGGATGGAAGCTGGGCCAGGATGAAGTAGGATCCTTGAAGGAGGAAGCTGCACAGCAGGGGATCCATTAACACTTTCACCTCTTTCAAGCTTCTGCCTCTCCTAACCTATTTATTGCCCTGATTTCCTGCTGATGTGAGACCCAGGGACTTTGCTTTGCTCAAGGCCACCTCTGTTTCTGTCTCTTTCTCTGTCTCTGTCTCTCTTTCTGTCTCTTATCTTTCTGTCTCTGACTCATTCTCTCATAGTTGACCCAGGTAAAATTGACTGCCAGCTTCCCCTTTTCCTGCTACCAGCCATTACATCCGCCTGGGTCTTTTAGCCCGGCTCTCTGTAGATTGCAATCTCACTCCGCCTTTCAACCTGTGGCAACAGTGGGTAACAGGAAGGAAACAGGCACTGGCTGACAATTTAAGAACATCTCTATTATGGACCTGCTTTATTTGAGCACATAATGAAAGACACCGAGTTAGGCCGTGTCACTGCAGAGGTGTTTGAGCTATGTGGGCAATGGTTCTACTTGTGTTCTTTGAAGCAACTTAGGACTTCTAGTCTTATTTGATAAACAAACAGTGCAAAAGCAAGCATAACCCTTGTCTCCTATTTATCTCAGACTGAGTAGTTTTTGAGAGTCTTCCAGCCTACTTCTGCATTTTCTACTTTCAAATCCAGTGAGGTTTTCACAGTCTTTCATTTCATATACATTGTTTCTTACACTATAGGTAGGAGGTGAAGCCTATTTTCTAGAATGCTTTCCATGAGTCAGTTGAAAACTGGACATATGTTTGCCAACATGTTATTCTTCCAAATATGGATATTATAAATTGAGAGAGAAAATTTAATAGCCACTAACTGTCATGATTCCTTAAGAACAAGATTATTAAAAATTTATTGATTGATATATATTTTTTTGAAACATCACAAATTTGACTTTTTATTTGTCATCATTGAAAGTCTTATTTTTAACAGATTCTTGAACTGTTGGTTCATATCCATCAGCTCGTTCAACTTTTGCACCTGTCTCATCACCAGTAGCTTTTTCCAGAGCTACGGCCTTCACCATGAAGCTCCATGAGTTTTCCCAGTTCAAACTTGGGCTTCTTCAGCATATTTACTTTTCTAACCAAGACATCATGGAATGGGTAGATAGACTGGCAAGGC